TCTGTGATAGCTTGGGACTGCAGTATGTAACCTGTGTGTGTGTGTGTGTGTGTGTGTGTGTGTGTGTGTGTGTGTGTGTGTGTGTGTTGTCATGTCCGCTATACAACTCAGACTGTGCCAGACTGCATTATTGGACTTTGTGTATGTGTGTGTGTGTGTGTGTGCGTGTGTGTGTGTGCGTGTGGGTGTGGGTGTGTGTTACATGCTGCGCCTGCACACGAGGGTCATTTTCCAGGCCCTGCGTCCCTCAGGCTGAAAGCCTGAAAACCAGGGCCTACAGGCCCCGTGTCTGTTCAGCTCGAACGCCTGAAATACAGGGGCCTGCAGACCCTGTGTCGTTTCAGACTAAAAATGGCAATAGCCTTTTTAGCCTGAAATGAAGGGCCATTTTCGGCCGTTCATCAGAACGACCGGCCCTGAAACTCAGGCACCGAACCAGGGTTTCGGGAACAGGCTATTCTTAGCCTGTTCCTACGACAGCCTCAGCAGATGCTGCAGCTCCAGCCCCTGGCACACTTCGGCATTGGCAAGAGCAGCCTCCTCGGCCTGGCTCAACCTGCAGGCAGTCAGGAGGCAGGCCGAGGTAGTACATAGGGACTTCCCATGCACTTCACGAGGAGGCAGGAGACAGTAGTCTTCAGGATTCGGCAGCAGCACTCTGGAGGGAGCGCTGCAGGAGTAGTAGTAGCATTAGCCTTAGTCTTCAGCGCTGGGCGCCAGTAGGTAGCTGTAGTCTTCAGCGCTGGGCGCCATAGCTAGGATAGCACTAGAGAGAGAGAGAGATTGGGCGGAGGCCAGAGGTACCTACCTGCAGCGCCGTTGCTCCAGCTTCGTCTTCGAGGTACCTGCAGCACAGCGCCAACTTCACAGGTTAGTACCTGGCTCGTAACACAGAGAGAGAGAGAGAGAGAGTTCTTCTTCTTCCTCTTCTCAGTCCACCATCTCCCTCTCACCCTCTCATCATCTGACTTCACTACATCAGCAGACTACGAGAGAAAGAGAGAGAGAGAGAGCTTGGTGACATTGGATCCAGACTCGACTTTTGGGCTTCAGACATTGCGGCGAGGGATTATTTGGGACTTGTGATAAAGACTTGGTGTTGACGACATTCCCATCTCTCCCCCTCCTCTTTGTCTGATCCCCTCCTCTTCGTCTGTG